ACTAGAATTCTTTGCCTCTTTTTTTTACTTCCTAGTTTAATCAATCACCAATCCTACCAATTTTGTCCTCAAAATGTTTTTCAGATCTTCTATATCCCTACTTCCACTGCTCAAGTGCAGACCTTTGTCATTGACCATCAATATGGCTGCAAGAGCCTCTGGATTGCTGGGGCTTCTCTGCAGCTCATCTTCAATACCATGGATGGAGAAATGTCTAGAGAGATGTTCCAGAAACAGAAGTTAAGGCCAACTCTTTCTCCGAGTCTCAGCTCAGGTGTCCCATCCTTTGAAACATCCCCTGTTTGAGGTATGATGTCAGACTGGTTAAAACACAGCTTTGGATCAGAAGAGCTTGATTTAAGTAGTAACTCTGTCCCATCCAGCTGTAAATTGGCTTTGTTTCCATTTTTTCATCTTTCCATTGAGGGTAATGATTCCTTCCTCACCCACTGAGATATTTTAAGCAGGGGAGTGACATGATTATCCCATTCCTGTTTCTGCAAGCTCACTCTGGCCACTGGCGGAGGATGGACTATGGGGAAAGGTGTAGAAGCAAGCAGTGCATGAGAGAGATGAGGAACGCTGGCATCTCAGGCCTAATGGTGAGAACGGAGATGAAGAGAAGCAGGACAATATCTTAGAGGCTTGAGGGCAGTGCTCACTGAAAAGAAGCATTGCCATTAGAAGACTTGGAGCTTTCAGTCAGGGCAAGGTGGCCAAAGGGAATACACAGAGAAGTCATGCTCCTTGTCTGTATATTGTCATTCCTGTGGATGGCCAATCAGCCCTAAGAATGGCTGTTTTCTGTTGCAAAGGTTCAGATGGTAAAGTGCTGGCACTAACTCATTGTTAATAGGCAACCAGAGACAGAGCCATAAACCAGAGCAGGCCATATGGAAGAAATGGGAGCAGAAGAGTCCAGATCATCTCTGCAAAGATGGGCCTTAACCCCATGTAGTGACAGGCCCTGCAACCTTCTCTCAAGTTGCTATGAGACACCTGCCCTCAGTATATCTACATTTCTACATCTCCCTTCTCATTCATCCACACTCAGCCCCATCTGATTATCCTCCTTCTCCCCATGGGAGATGTGCTAGGGATTTCAGAAACATGCTTATTTATAGGTTGCATCAAACTGAGGAGGCCAGCCACGGAGACACGAGCCCAGTGACTGCACGAGGAGCTTCTAGGTCAGTTCCTCCCTTTAGATTCTGACTTTGCTTGATGAACAATTGTGGCTGTGCATTTCTGTTGGTGTGCATCTGCAGGTCTTGTCTGTCTTGTGATATTCCTGATGATACTCTCCCTCCTGGCATGGGTCTCTGGAATGATCTGCACCGAAGAGGCCCATGGGGCCTTCAGCAAGTGTGTTGTGCAGCTTGGGGAGTTGGAGAAGGCAAGCACGTGTTCATAACACAGCTGGGGAGTAGGTCCCAGGTCTGTGTCTGCTCTGATGGTGTAAAGTGGATGCTCACAGCTGAGATCCCCACACCCAACTGCTTAGACTCTGAGTGACTTCCTCATTATGCCAGGACCTGAGTTGTGAAGCTGGGCTCTGGGTGCAGTTTTATTTTTCATTTATTTTCTGGTTAGAGGTTAGCAATTGTTCATTGTAGCAAATATAAAGGATTCATAAAAAAATGAATGGGGCAGAAAAAATGATTTCCTGATATTCTACTATCCAGAGGCAAACCACCCTGTGTTTTGTATATTTTCTTCTGGGCTTAAAATTTCTTTCCTATGCACTTTTTTGGTTGTTTATGGAGCTGAGTTTATACTGTATGTGCAATTTTTCATCCTACATTTTCCCACCTACCTTTGTCTCATAAATCCTTTTCCATCATATTAACCATTCTTGGTGACACATTCCTTTATTCTCCAAACATATATACTCGGCAGGCACAACTCTGCATTGAAGGTACAGTGGTGACCAATGCAAACGCAGTCTCAATCTTCAGGGCCTCTTCAGTCTGGCAATGATGTGAACATTTTCACTTGTTCTTTCCTAATTTTCTTTGAAAATAAAAGTTTTCTTTTCTAAGCCATCAGAAAGCTGTTAAGATGTGTGGAAAAGTGCATTGTGGGAATGCACCTCAATGCACTTATCTAACCTCCTGCGTTGGCATGCTAAGACAAAGCAGAAACTGTTGATCTCTTTTTACCTGTGAAGAAAGGACCACAGAGAAGGGATCAAGACTAATGGTATGTGTGCATTTGGGTCTAGATCTTCTCGTTCTAAGTCAAGGTATCGTTCTGCCTTTAAACAAACATCACTTGAGCAACTACCACTTGCAAAGTGTGCTGCTTGGGTCTGCCCTCTCAGCTGTCAGAGCCACAGAGGACATGGGGAAACTCATTTTTCCCAAGGTGTTCACTGATAACAGCTTAAGCCTTAAGGAGCTTTCAATTTCAAAACCTTCCCCATCTGCAACGTCAAGGCACTGGGGAGAGAAACTCCTCCAGCTCCCTTTGCTCTGGAATACTCTCTGACTCATGCATCCGCCGATGCTCTCCTCACTTCACCCTGGAGTATTCACTAAGAGCCTGGGCTTGGAGGGCAGGCCACTTGGACTGAAACCCAGGCTTTACAACATCATTAGCCATGGGGATTCGAACACATCACTCAGTCTCTCTGAGCCTGAGTCTTCAACTCTAAAGTGGAGCTGATAAAGAGACCCACCTCATAGATTCGTTGTGAAAATTTAAATGTAATAATACATGTTAGTGCTTAGCATACTCCCTGGCACATTGAAGGGAGTTAAACACCCAAAGCATTTTCTCTCACTAGGTTGTCCCTATTGTTCTTATCATTGGCAAGATGAATAATCTTCACTCAGAGGTTGACACGACTGAGACATCATATGTTTAGAAGGAGCTGCTCCTGCTTCTTTATGACTTTGAAAGGAGATGGGTATTATTATTCCTCTTCAGTATATGAGGGAGCTGAGACACAGAGAGATGAGTCAACTGGCTCCAGTTAAAACCAGACCTGTCTTAGGCATCATACCATTTTTAGGGGATTTTGCAGATTGGAGAGTAGAGATGTTAACACTCTCTTCCATAATGCATGCAATTCTGGTGATGTTGTTGAGGAGAGAAGGATCTTGTGGCCCCCCCAGGAATCATTGGCTCCAACAGAGTAAGGAGTTATTGCTAGAAAGGCTGCTGCAGTCATATGGGTTCTCAGCGAAGCCAGACTTCAGTGAGAAGGATGGACCAGCAGGATGCTCTGCTTGGGATGGGCTGGCCCCAGGGCCACACTGAGATTTCTACAGTGCACTTAGGAATATGTTTTAAATGAGTAACTCAAGGATGTGTCAGCAGGTTAATAGCTGCTGGGATTATATACTTCTACAGTTAACGAGGGATGTCGATATGGGATAGGCTTATGGGTAGGAAGCAAGGGCGATCCATGACAAAATTTGTCTTTTTCTGCCCAGACCAAAATTACCATCACAACAGAGCAGCCTGGGCACAGCACCATCAATTGGGGAGAACCCTGAGAATGTTGACAATTCTTGCCACAATGTTATCCTAAGCAGCAAGTGGCACTGCCTTGGGTTGTCCTCTGCCATTTCTGCCATGAGGTGCCTCCCTGGGATAAACAGAACAGTGTTTGTGTGGTATTGCTATTGTGGTCCTTATTATCTTGTGCTTCCTATCACTGGGCCTGTCACTTGACTTCTGGAGAATGCACAATATTCTTCTGCATACAGTATCAGAATACAGTTTTTAGTTGTAATGGTAATAAACAATAGCAGTTCTATAATTCATTCTTTTTCCTAGTCACACAGCTGTGACTGAACTCTTGGCCTCTGACAGTCGGCCCAACATACTTCCCATCTCCACCCTGCTGATGCTTTGTAGCTTTAAGAAGCTCTTTAGTACCAGGGAAGTGTTCAGGGGGTAGATAGGTTCTTGGAAGCTGATCAAAGCCAGTCTGCAATGAGTTACCTAGGAGTCCAGGGGTTTCTACTTAGTTTAACCATTATTTCCTGTCTGAGCACATCCTTCTGCTTGTCCTTGTGCCAGGGCCAGGGAATCAGAGATGAAGCACTCATGGCCTTTCCCCTAGGGAAGCTCACAGTCTAGCAGTGGAAACAAATACAGAAAGAGAATGTGCTCTGCTGGACCTGGCAAAGAGGCTGTGGGGCAGCCAGGAGAAGTCCTTTACCTTGGCCTTGGAATCAGAGAAGACTTTCTGGAGGAGGAGATGCCTTCATCTTACCCAACATACCATGCATTCACTCAACAATCATTTATTGAGCCCTTACTATGTGCCCCACTTGGGGCTAGGTGTTAGAGACACAGCAGCAAAAAAATCAGAGAAGGTGCTCTGCCTTCATGGAACTCTGATTAGAGGCAACACAGAGGAATCTCAAGGAAGAATGAGGTGATGGGATGGGGCAGAGATGCTTAGGTAAAGAGAGCAAAAAGGACAAAATGAAATGCTCTGCTTCATGTGTGCAGGGAACTACAGTGAATTTCAATTAATACTGTGGGTTTACGGACCAGATATGTCTAACCATAGACAGGATTTCTGTGACATGCTGACAGGGAAAGGCAAGCTTTTCAACCCCACTGGATGAGATGAGAGACTTTACTTTCTTATTCCCTGTAGTTATCTCTGTGTTTAGAATGGTTTTCAGCACCTACTAGGTGGTCAATAAATTCTTGTTGAACCATTAAACGAATTAATGTTGGGCAGAGCTGAACACTAGTCTTTGAATAGATGATGCTGGTTTCAACTCCCATAGAGAGCAGAGCTAAAGCTTTCTTTAATAATTAATAAAGCTCAGGGATGAACACTGAATTAGACCTGACCTCAGCCACATGGCTGACACCCTCCATTCATATCTAAAATGCTAAATGCCAGAAAAGATTTGCAGAGTTCCAAGTTGATTTTTATGGCTAGAGCAGCTGAATGGGGCTGTGAGTAACTTTGTAAGATGTCCCTATGGTCCCAAATATTCAGAGAATGGAAAAAGCTGAGTGTTGATATCATTTATTCATTCAATAGCTGTTTTGGGGAGCAATTGTGCCAGATGCTGCAGTAGATCCTGACCCTTGAGGTACCCCCTCTTTGGGAAGGCTCCTTGGACCTCTCACTCCTTCCCAACAGAGATGACCCCTCCATCTCTGTGCTGCTTCTGTGCTTTATGTCCGTTTTGATCTCTTTTGTAGTTATATTTTCTCTTCTGTATCCACCTCTAGACTGCCAGCTTCCCCAGTGCAGGCCAACTTTGATTCCTCAGCGGTTTGGTGAAGACTGCAAAACTCAACTGAAGACTCCCCACCTGGAAAGGGAGACAGGCATTGAAAGCGATAATGCATCTGGATCATTCGTGGTCTTGTGGACTTTCAGAGCATTATGGGACCAGGAGCAGAGAATGACTGGGTTTGGCTGGGTAATGAGTGTTGCGAAGGCATCACTGAAGAAGCAACATTCAAGTTGGGAGGTGAAGAGGATTTTGCTGGGAAGAAAAGAGCCTGTGAAATGAAAGGAGGAGTTTTGGAAGCAGTACCGGGGTGTTTGTTGTACTCCTGCTGGGTTCACTCTCTCTGTCACCCTGTGGGTCCAGGACATATGCTTGCAGGATTGTACTGGATGCGGTAGACCTGATGTTGACATTGTTTTTTACTCCTCATTATTTCCGACAGCCCATTTTACAGGTGGAGACCGTGGGGCTTGGGAAGAGGAAATACACAGTGGGGGCAGAGCTGGCTGCAAACTGTTGATTTTATGCTCCTGCCCTCAAATGTAGCTGCCTCTTGTTGACTGTGTTCTCTTGCCAGATGTAGTCTTGGAGTTTCTTGCAGGTGGGGAGAGGATTTCCTTTTAGATGATGTTCAAATGGGTCAGAGTTGTCACTTCCTTATCTACTGGTGTTGTTGAGGAGGAGCCAGCTGGGCCCTTGGGTTTCCAAGACAAATCTGAACTGCAAGAGAAGACCTTGTCTCCCCTAATAATAAAGATCTCCCTCTCTCTCTCTTCTTTCTTAGGTTTACATTAAAATTAGATAATTCTAGACTGAGTGAGACCAGGGCCTTAGTATATGATGAAAAAGACTGGAAATGAGGAGGTTCAGGATAGCTGTAACTGGGGGGATTGTGGCTTCTAGGTAGCTGTTTATCAGGGTGATGGTTGCCCTTTCCCCAAATGCACATCTTTTGTCACACACACACATTATACTGCATCTGGGTTTGGCCCAGGGTTGTTCTTGAAAAGTGCATTAATATGCAAATGAAAATTCAAATTGAATTATGCAAACAGATATGAAAATAATACAGTAAGGAATAATTTAGCCTAGCATGTTCCACTTCCCTCCCTTTGCAGAGCTGTTGTATTACACAAAGTAGCATGAGCAAAGTCCTTTGATTCCTAACCAACTGCAAACAAGAATCTTATTTTCAGGTCTTTCCTTATATCATCCCTGCTCCGTCTTCTCCTCTAGGGGCAGGACCATGAGAGAAAGCCTTCATTAGCTGGGCACTTAGTATTTGCGAGGTCCTTTTCTAGGCACTCATCAATTTTTATCCAATTCACCACTCACCACAACACTATGAGGAGTATATGACTATTACTGTTACACAGATGAGGAAACAGAAGCTCAGAGAAGTTAATCGCCTTTTCCAAGACCACTCAGCCATTAAGAAGCAGATCTGGAATTTGTATGTGACTTGATTGAAGGCTAAATTGACATGATCAATACCCCATTTCTCTTTCCATTTTTTGTTTCTGCTTCCACAGTGTATGGGCTCTTCTCCTCTTCCCCACTCAATACTTCTAAACCCCTGTTAGCTTTAGAGGCTACAGCTGTCTTTGTTCACATACAGTAGGAAAGAGGCAAATTTTCCAGGGAAGATGAAGGGAACTTTTCCACTTGGAAATCAGGGTCCTGCTAGAATGAGGAAGGGAGGAATACCTGCTGTGTAGGCAACCACAGATACCAATAGTGGGAATACATTTTGGGAAATAAATTAAAAAGTAGAGCTTGCTAAAATGACATCATATAAATCCTCAATGACATTTTTAAACTAATGTAAATAAATTAACCTCTTTTTACTAATGTCTTAGGTTTTTGTAACACTTATGTTTTCATAACACTTACTTTATTCGAGTCTCACAGTATTGCCTTATGTATGTTTTATTATCTCCATTTCACACAATAAGGAAAGAAAGCCTTTAAGAGGTGAAGTCAGGAAGCAGGTGGTAGAAACTCAAATTGAAATCTTTAGATTCCCTCCTCACTGGTCTTTTCACTAACAGCCTGACTCACGAGTTTAAATGCTAGAATTCTTTTCCAATCAATCCAGAACCATTATGACTGGCTGATCATAAAGCCATCCAGTTTAAAAGAAGTCTGCCCCTCCTTGTCCCGAGAATGTTCAGAGTGTGTTGGGAGTCAGTGTTGTGTGCTGGGAAGGGCCCAGACTCAGGATTCAGATTGCCCTGGGTCCTGGCTCCAACATGTGTTGGCTGTGTGACTCGGGGCAAGTCATTTGATCACTCACAACTGGGTTTCCTCATCCTGTAAAGTGGAAGTAATCACACCTACTTCATATATTTCTTGGAACAAATAAGTAGAATATTAAGAACTCAGCAAAATATCTTGTAGAAATTCAGTGAAATATGGAAATTTAAGGGGATGACTGTCTCAGTTTTCTTGAGGGCTGAGGAGGTCCCAGAGATGAGGGACTTTCAGTATTAAAAGAGGTAAAATCTCAGACAGATTGAAACTAGTTGGTCACCTGGCTGACGTTAGTAACTGTAATTCTGAGAACGAGGTGGTTGGGGAAAAGAAACGCTTCTATTCTTCGGTTTAAAGTAAGAAATTATAAGCCCGGACCTCCAAACTTCCCATCTAAATGTTGCCTGCTGGACCACTGAGCAGAGTGGCTCCTCAGGCTTGAGTTTGGCACATTAGATGAACATGGTCCTGCTGGAGGGAGTTGGAAGAATGGGAAGATTTTTGGCAGTTGTGAGTTTCCTGACGTGGGAGCAGAACTCTAGATGGTAGTCAGACTGCTGACCTTGACCAGTCCTTTCCCATCTCTAGGTCCTTGTTTCCTTTTTGGAAAACAGGAGGCAAGCCCCGGTAGCAATAACAGCATAGCTTTCTATAGTTCTTTACAGTTCACAGATGCCTTTTTACGTCACGGTCTCCTGTGATCTTCACTCTAGCTCAGCAAGGAAAGTGTCATCATTACCCTGAACATTTGCTGTCCTCAATTTACAGATGTGAAGAATGAGGCTCAAGGGAGACAGAGTATCTTTGCCCAAGGCCACACAGCCAGGAAGTGATCTGGATAGAACTCAAGCCTAGAACTCCTGACTCCAGAGCCCATCTCTTTTTCATGACATTTCTCTGCCTCCCTGATCACAAAGTTCTCTTCTTGCTTCACAGTTTCATGACACTGAAACTCAAATGCTCTACTTTTGGTCTAAGGGATGACGAATCACAAAGTCAATGTCTTGAGCTAACGTTCCTTGGCTAAATGTCTTTTTTTGGAGTGCTCTCCATCTTCCGTCTGTTCTTTTCAGGCACACGAGAAACCTGGCATGGGTTCCTTCCCTCATCAGAAGAAAAACAACTTCTCTAGCTTCTATGGAATAAGAATGCAATATAGTTTTATGGTCAGTGGCTGCTTTAAGCAGAAGTTAGCAGAATGGAAACAGATTGTCTAAGCGCAGACTGTGGCTTTGTCAAATTTTTAATTTAGCAGAAACTTGATTACTCATGTACGCATGGCACACTTTCTCTCTGTTCCCCAGCACATCTGTGCGTGTGCGTGTGCATGCATGTGCATACATGCATATACAGGAAGCTAATTATGATCTAAAGAATCCTCTAGAAAGGATAGTTAATTAGTTCTAAAAATACCTTGATCAATAAAAGCAGTGACACACTTGTCCAGGGTTCTGAGAAGTCAGCAGGAAGTCTTGGCCATGAATTTACAGTTGCAAGGTAAACATTTATTTCGGTACAACATGTTTTATAGTGCCATAAAAGAGAGGAGGAGAGTCAATAGCTCTATTTAGTATCGATGGAACCAAGAAAATACTGATTCTATATTGAACAAAATATGAATAAATATGAGTACTTACCCTTGATAAAGTACTTGAAATCTTAGAGGTAATGACTTCTGCTTTTGCCCCCCAAAGTTGATGCACCATACTGAAGTATATAATGCCTGATTACATCCTCCACGTGTCCGTAAATGCTGGAAACCAAGACAAAATTTGTTTGTTAGAGAATTTTGACATGCCTTGTTTATACAATTCTTCTCAGCTAGAAAATCTTTGAGATTCATTAACTGGACAAAAACTTATTTGTGCAAGGCTGTATTCCAGACCCTGGTAATGTGGTCTGAGCAGGGTAAGGAGACTAGACTCAGGGAGGGTTTCCATTAACAAGACTCTAAGCTTGACATGTGGGAACCATCTAGATACATCTTCAATATCTCCATTTCTTCCCATTGTCACTACCATGGCCCCAACTCAAACATCATCACTGCTTCCTGGGTCAAGTTCCTGCCCTCAGATTTGCCTTCTATTCTCCCTATACAGACAAAATGATCTTTCCAAAATAAACATGTGGTCATGACCCTCCTTCTGGCTTGAAGCCTTTCCCGGTTCCTCATTGCCCTTAAAATAAAGCACAAGCTCCTATACAAGCGTGTGCAATTCGGCCTCCCCATTCCCCTCCTCTGCTTACCTTTGCTGCCTCATGTCTCCCCTCTCACTTCTCTTCTCTCTCCACTGCCACCCTGTTGATCTCCCTTTAGCTCCTGTAGCACTGTTCCCTCTCTTGTGTCCAGGTCTTTGCATATACCTTTTTAAAGGAAATGTTGCAGCTCTGTCTACGCAGCTTATATGTGGATGAACTTTAAACAGTCAAACAGAAAGACTTTGTGATTGCAGTCACGGACAGGTGGTGAGGAACAGCGCAAGTGACACTCTTTGCTTATCAAACTACCTTAAGCCAACCTGCTTTCTCTCCCTCCAAAGAGGATTTCTTGGTTCATTTTCCTAGGGAGGCAGCTGACTTCATGCATAAATAAGTCCAGGGCCTTCATTAGGTTGACTATATTATTTGCTACTTTCGAGGGTGAAAGAAAATTCCATCAATTATCATATCAGAATAACAAGTAAAAATTGAGATAGTGACAATGATTGGGAAAGAATGTCATCAGAATGCTCGCCCGCTCTCTCTCTCTTTTTTCCTTGCTTCTCTCTTTGCATACATTCTCAGTGAGGCTGCTCCCACGAGGTGGCAACAGTCTCCCCTAACAGCTCCTGATTACTGTGGCCACAGTGAGGGGTGCTCTGATTAGCTAGACCTGGGTCACCTGTCCACCTATGGAATCACCCCACTTGAATGACAAGAACTGTGAGAGGCGATGAGGTGGTTCCTCATACCGGACATTGGGAGCCTATACCCAACCAGAAGAAAAGGGTGCTGGGCAGTCAAAACAATAAATGTGTACACACCTCTGGTAGCTGTAGTCATGGATCAGTGGTGAGGAGTACACAAAGGCATGACAACGTTACAAAAGAAATGTTGCACATTTTGATGACTTCTACAAAATGGGGGAGTCTTGTTCCAAATGAAATTCTGCGAGGTGACATCAAAAAGCCAGCAAGTGTTCACGACAGGGGAAATCTGGTGTGGGGTATATGAGAATTCTGTATTACCTTTGTGATTTCTCTGTAACTCTGAAACTACTCTAAAATAAAAATTTATTTATAAAAACCAGCAACCAATAGAAAAATGTGTCTTTTTACAACAACTCAAAGGCATATCCCACAGCTGTCAGAGAAGCAAGTTGAAGTTACATACCTTGTAGGGGAGAGTAAGAGAGGCAGACTCCATCTCTGACGGTGGCAGTAAACATATAGAAACATTTTTGTAGAGAGTAGCGGACATTGAAAAAACTTTTAAAATTCATTTCAGTTTACTAGAGTTTAAGAAATGTTCTCTTCTTATTCTTTCCTTTACTTTTCACAGAAGACAAAATAGAGACCAGGGACTTATTCTGCACTTTGCTGTTTGTGCATAAATTTATGTCTGCTGTACTATTTCTTGTAATTATCTCATTTAATTATTAGATAAATTGATGAAATATGAGTGCAAAAAGAGAGTTGATATGTCTATGACATTTAAGCTACATGCTCTGGAAAGGCTTGATAAAAGCAACTTGCTAATAAAATTGCTATTGCATTAGATGTGATTGAGACAACTGTCAATGATTGGGAAAAAAATAATCATAGAAATTCACAAGGAATCTGTACTCAGATTTTTTCCCAAGTGTTTAAAGTTATCACTCTACTCCATGGAAAGATTAAGACTTGTATACAATGCATAATGTGTATATTTTACACAAGAAACATGATTCTATCTCCAATCATTGGATCCATAAAGAGAAAACCCAGTCCTTAGATTAAAAGATGGGCGACTAAATGAGCATTTATATCTTTTCAACTAAAATAAAACATATAAAAGATGTTTACTCATTTTAACAAATTTTTGAATTAGCCAACCAACTTTTGGATCCATTCGTATTGAATAAAAGGGTTCTATTGAGTGGGTGAATTGCAATAAATAAGAAAAACTTAGTTGTTGAGTTCTTTCTAGCTTGCAAAAAAAAGCTCTTTGAGATGTGGTGCCTTTTCTCTGACTGCAGTTAACTTAAGGATCAGTGTGTTGTTTTTGATGACATCAAGCAGAAATTTAGAGAAATATGGAAATTGCCGGTTTGTAAGCAATAAATTTCCACAGTTGTTTATTCTTCCTCCATCCTTATTAGTTGGAAAGTGTATTGCTTTTCCCAAATGAGTCTGTTGAAATGATCATTTCAAAATGTTGAAATGATATTGAAAATAGATCATTTGAGCTGATGTGTGTGTCATAAGGGTACGGAACTTCACAAAAATCCCACTGCTTTTGTATTTTCAGGAACTTCCTGCTATGGGTTTGGTTCTGGATAGGAGCCACTCTGTCCAAAATTTGTTTTATGGATCATTCACTTTGCAAATCGGTCATTATGGATTCCTCTTAAGATCCCACCTCACCCTCCTGACTAATAATTGTACTGATTCTTTCTTGCCACCAGTGAGGGGTCCTTAAGCAATATATACCTCCTTGAAGAGAGGTCTGGATTTGCTGCTGTTGAAACAGTAGCATGTTAGAAAGACTACTTCCTATGTGTATAGTGTTTGGTTTACAATTGTTTGCACATGCGTTATTTCATTTGAGCCACATAACAAAACTCTTTACTCATCTTTTATGATTGAGAAAACTGAAACTCAAAGGCTGGAAGTAATTTGTCTGAAATTCCTTAATTGGTGACCAGTAGACCTGGTATTTGGGTTCGGAACTTCTGATTTCAAATCCAAACCTCTTTTCTGAAACACCAACACAAACAGAAAGTAGTTCAGGTTCATTTGTTCCTTTTAGATTGCTCACCTCACACAAATCTGTTATTACCTTTTATGAATTCATTTGACAAAGAGTTTATTGAGCATTGATTGGATGCTAGGCAATTGGTTAAGAATAGATGCACATTATTAAGAAGCAGAAGCTCCATTCTGGGGGTGATGGGATACTGAGATGTGACCACCAAAAATGTTCCCACACTTGAAGTTCACCCTTGAAACTCCCCATATGTGCTTTTACCACGCATCCCACATAGCATGTGAAGCTCATAGAGAAGCATAAATATCCATTTTAACATGCTGCCTTGGTTAATTGCACAATTATCAGTAAGCAATACGATGGTGTGAACATGTGCTCTTGATAATTGCCACCATTTTCCATGGAGTGAGCATGTATTTATTTACCACATTATTATGGCAAAAGATGTGTGTGATTTTGCTGGTAACTATGTAATTAACTTGTACCTCACTGTGTTATTTTAGCTTGAACTGCATCTAGTGACTTCTAAAGAGCTGTTAAGAACAATGCAGAGCATGCCTAGTGGTTCTGTCCGTGAGAATGCTTATACGGTGAGCATATTTGTAGTCGATTATTTTTGAACCAACTGTTGGTGTCAATTTCAATTTATTGTTGGCTTGTGTCAGAGCATACGTGCTTCAATATAAAACATCACTTCTTTCTCTAGTGGTTCCATACATGTGCTTTCCATTGACCACGTTACTCTCCTCATTCAGACATCTGTTGGATTTCTTCAATATAAAGCAACAACTATACCTATCCTTTATATACTTCATAAGCTGTGAGGTTTACAATGCAATTTTATAAATGTGTAACATAGCCACCCTAGAATGGAGCTCTTTGCAGGTCCTGTTTTTAAACAGCTTCTGCTAAAAGACTGAATGATTTTTGTTATTCTTTTAATTTATATTTTTAAAGTCATATTGCTATAATATAGAACATTGGAAAATAGAGGGGAAAAACTTCATCCCTCATTCTGTTTTACTAACTCAATGTCCATTGACATTTGCTATTTCCTTCCAGTCTTTTTTCTCGCACGTGTAATTTTTTAAAAAATAGTAGTAACTACAGTAAGGAGAAAATGTGATATCATTTTTCTTCACTTAATGTTACAACTTTATTTTCTTGTGCTCCAACATGGTCTTATAAAAAACCTTTGAGATGAAATGGATAGGCACTTTTCCTTATTTCTCTGGATAAGTATAGCTAAAAACTCTGGACATTATATATAAAACAAACATAAGAGGACTCTGAACGATGGAGAAAAGAAGACAGTCAGGCTAGGACTGTAGGACTCAGTGAATGACATGGCAGCAATTCTCTGGATTTTCTTTTTGCTTCATGTATCGCTCCAGACTGGATGCTGGAGAAGCTGGCATCCTGAAAATGCCAGTGTGTTCAGACAAAAAAGGATCCCATGGAAAAGACCATTCTCTCTAGTCAGAGGACCAGGAAAAGGTAGCCTAGCAAGAAAGAAACTGTTTAGACATTGATCACCAAATATTACAAGAAAAAAAGCAACCCCATATCCCCTTTTTAACCAAGACTGCAAGGGGGCCTGGACTTCCACTCTTACCAAGTTGTAAGGAAGCACCCCAAATCCCCAGCTAGAGTGATGTCAGAGATGGTACAGGAGGGGCTCAGAAATTTCATCCTTGCTGGGCAGTAAAGAGGCCCTCCCCATGCAATCCATTCTGCCCCTACTGCCAGCCAGAGTGGTATCAGCAGAGCCTGGAGGGAGCCTGAACTCCCATCCCCACCCAACAGTAATAAGGAGCCCCTCCCCCCTCCTAAGTGTCAACAGAGGCCAAGTGGGGCACTGGTCTTCCACCTCCATCTGTCAGTAATGATGGTCTGTCTCCCTTCTCCCTCTCGCTTGGTATCACAGGAAGCCTGCTAAAACAGAACACTTAAATAAGACCCAGAGTCTCAGAACCCCAAATGTCAAGAATTTAATTTAAAAAAATCACTTGTTATTTAAAGAACCAGGAAAATCTTGAATGAGAAAAGACAATCATGAAACATCAACACCTCGATGGCAAAGGTGTTAGAATTATCCAGCAAAGATTTTAAAGCGGCCGTTATAAAAGTGCTTCCATGAGCAATTATGAACATCGTTGAAAAAAGTAAAAGATAGAAAGTCTCAGCAAAGAAATCAAAAATATGTAGAATAACCAAATGGAAATGTTAGAACAGAACAAATAATATCTAAAATAAAAAACTCAACAGTAGAATGGAAAGATGGATGAAACTTTAAGATAAAACAATAGAAATGACCCAATCTGAATAACAGAAAAAAGATACACTGAAAAAATAAAAAGAAACCGAGCCTCAGGGACCTCTAGGACTACTGTGAAAGATCAGGGGCCGGCCTGGTGGTATAGTGGTTAAGTTTGTGTGCTCCATTTTGGGGTCCCAGGGTTTGCAGGTTTGGTTCCTGGGCGCATACGTAGCACTGCTCATCAAGCCATGCTGTGGCGGTATCCCACAAAAAATAGAGGAAGATTGGCACAGATATTAGCTCAGGGACAATCTTCCTTACAAGAAAAAGATCACACATTCATGTCATCAGAGTCCCAGAAGGAGAGAAGAAAAGTCGAGGGTGGGAGGTGGAGATAATGGCTAAATTTCCCAAATTTGACAAAAGACAAACCTACAGATTCAAGATGCTGGGTGAACCTTGAACAGAATAAACCCAAAGAAATTCATGTAAAAACACATCATAATGAAACTTCTGAAAACTAAACAAAGAAAAAATCTTGAAATCAGTGAGAGAGATATAATATTTACTTAGAGA